AGCAACTGGTTTTGAACGTTTCTGAACATAGTTGATTTGATAAATGCGGTAATACAAGGAGACAAAAAGCGAATTGTGTATTATAATGGACTGGGAAGTATTTAATGTTATTCTAGCTGACACATTTCATCCAGGAACTGTTAACATTTACATAATTTACGGCATTCTAGCCTTACTCATGCATTAACATACCAATGTTTTAATCATACTGTATAATTTCAATGCCGCAAATGCTTAACCAAATGATAGAAGTAGCATCATCAATATTCGCATGAGGCGGTATTACCTGAGATACTCCGCGGGTATTTACTGCTGCGTAATGTACGACATTATCTATCACTTGTCATATCACAAGTGAACTGATCTACTAGTATCTGTATAAACACACACATACAAAACATGAAATGTAACTTATTGTTAAGGATATGAAACCATGGTAAAATATAGCGTCGTGCACAGGATATGATATAGTTTAAGGTAAGAAGAGTTAAACAAGAAAATAATGTTATCTTACCTTAAAACAGAGTGAAGACTGCTGAGTCCCTCTACGTCTTTATTCGTGGCAGAGTGAAGTATCTGCCACTGGACTCGGTGTATATAGGGATTTCTGTAGAATGCGTTAGTTACCTAATATTGAAGCTGAATCTGTCAACTGTTTGGTGTATTAATTACAACTATTCGTTAGTTACGGAGTGCACTGACTGACCCTGTAATATTCTTTATATTCGTGTGTGTGTGTGTGTGTGTGTGTGTGTGTGTGTGTGTGTGTGTGTGTGTGTGTGTGTGTGTGTGTCTTACGCCGCACTCAGCAATATTCCAGCTATATGACGGCGGTCTTTAAATAATCGACAATCCAGTGAATGAAATCATGAGCATCGATCTACGCAATGAGGATACGATGACATGCATCAACCAAGTCATCGAGCCTGACCACCCGATCCCGTTAGTCGCCTCTTATACTATAAGCATAGTCGCTTTTTACGGCAAGCATGGGTTGCTGAAGACCAATTCTACCCCGGATCTTCAGGGGTATTTTAGATTCGTACCTATCTGCTATTTAAATGATGGTGCGCCCGACCATGCACAGCATGTTACAGTCGGGGACAAAACTCCAGCTATGCCAGCTCAGTCAAGAGTTAGGTGATCCAGAGTCACTGGTTTGTGACGGTCTGTTACGTGGACAGCTAACGACTAACTGACTAGATGACAAAATACAAAGCTTATTATTGACATATCACCACTATAATTTTGGGTCACATATAGCGATTTTAGAACTATGCCAGTAATAATGCGTATAGCTCATCCCCACAATGATCATATGCCATCCTAATTGAGTCCCACATACGTGGTGGACGATGCTTAAATCCACTCTGTATTTTTCCATTATGCTTACCTAGTCATGTGATATATATACATTACTCTTCTGCAACTTGCAGACAATGCACTCTGCGAGGAACTACAGCTCAGATGGTGCACTGGAGATCATCGGTGTGCCTCATCCCACGACACTGAGTATACAGGATATGCATGTATTCCCCGAACCACGAAGTATGTAGGCCACCCGCTGACTACCAACATTCACTGTCAATTTTAATTATAATTAATTTTTGGCTCAACGGCAAACCTGTGATAATCTATGCTGGTGTCCCTTAAGATGTTTATGTCGTCGTCATCGTCGTCAGCATCATCATCATCATCGTCGTCGGCGTCAAATGTTTGTTGCATTTGAAACTTCTAGTTTAAAATTAAAGGAATACCGTTATGGAATAAATATCATCATTATCATCGTCGTCGTCGTTGTTATTATTATTGTCGTTGTTGTTGTTGTCGTCGTTATCTGCATATCTACATAATGACACGTTTACAAGACACGTGGACATGTCCAGAGTGTAACGTCACCCGCCCCTGTCACCTGTGTGCACTGGACACAACTGTCAGAGAGACATTCGTCAACAGGAACCGAGCGCCTACGTACGTGATGAAGATAAGTAGGCCGTATGTGGGACGGTTACGTCATCGCTTCAAGCTGTTTGGGGGTTGGAAATGACTGGCTACGACAAGAACACAATCACCCTGATGGGAAACATTCAGTCGGCGAATGAGTAGAAGTCGAGTGGTCTATTATTGTACACATTAAGGACGGTTTTTCGACTGACAATATTCAACAATATGTTCCTTATGATAAAAACTTTTGATTGGGCATGCGTGAAAAGGTCATGGGAGCACATGGCGCATTAGTGAAATGTGTTTATCAGGTCTGATATCCTATAACCTTTTCACTCATTGCAATCCCACGTGAGCTGATCATATAAACGATCATAATGTTGAAATAAGACATGAACTCACGCTATATGATGGCGGTATGCAACTTTTCGTGTCTGTACCACACAATCCAGTGTTTGACATCATGAGGATCAATCTACGAAAATGGGTCACGATGGCATACAGGTGTCGGCCTGAGAGCGGCACATTTGATATTTAGGGCAAGAAGGTCATTGTGGAGCTCCCGGGACTAGTACGGACTCAGACACGGTTCACTGACACGGGATTTGTAGCTCCCGGGACTAGTAGGGGCTCAGACACGGTTCACTGACACGGGGTTTGGAGCTCCCGGGACTAGTAGGGGCTCAGGCACGGTTCACTGACACGGGGTTTGGAGCTCCCGGGACTAGTAGGGGCTCAGGCACGGTTCACTGACACGGGATTTGGAGCTCCCGGGACTAGTAGGGGCTCAGGCACGGTTCACTGACACGGGGTTTGGAGCTCCCGGGACTAGTAGGGGCTCAGGCACGGTTCACTGACACGGGATTTGTAGCTCCCGGGACTAGTAGGGACTCAGACACGGTTCACTGACACGGGATTTGTAGCTCCCGGGACTAGTAGGGACTCAGACACGGTTCACTGACACGGGATTTGGAGCTCCCGGGACTAGTAGGGACTCAGACACGGTTCACTGACACGGGGTTTGGAGCTCCCGGGACTAGTAGGGATTCAGACACGTTTCACTGACACGGGATTTGGAGCTCCCGGGACTAGTAGGGACTCAGACACGGTTCACTGACAAGGGGTTTGGAGCTCCCGGGACTAGTAGGGGCTCAGACACGGTTCACTGACACGGGGTTTGGAGCTCCCGGGACTAGTAGGGACTCAGACACGGTTCACTGAGAGGGGATTAGGAGCTCCCTGACTAGTAGGGGCTCAGACACGGTTCACTGACACGGGATTTGTAGCTCCCGGGACTAGTAGGGGCTCAGACACGGTTCACTGACACGGGGTTTGGAGCTCCCGGGACTAGTAGGGGCCAGACACGGTTCACTGACACGGGGTTTGGAGCTCCCGGGACTAGTAGGGGCCAGACACGGTTCCCTGACACGGGGTTTGGAGCTCCCGGGACTAGTAGGGGCCAGACACGGTTCACTGACAGGGGATTTAGAGCTCTCGGGAGTAGTAGGGGCTCAGACACGGTTCACTGACACGGGATTTGTAGCTCCCGGGACTAGAAGGGGCTCAGACACGGTTCACTGACACGGGGTTTGGAGCTCCCGGGACTAGTAGGGACTCAGACACGGTTCACTGACACGGGGTTTGGAGCTCCCGGGACTAGTAGGGGCTCAGGCACGGTTCACTGACACGGGATTTGGAGCTCCCGGGACTAGTAGGGACTCAGACACGGTTCACTGACACGGGGTTTGAAGCTCCCGGGACTAGTAGGGGCTCAGACACGGTTCACTGACACGGGGTTTGGAGCTCCCGGGACTAGTAGGGACTCAGACACGGCTCACTGACACGGGATAGGGATTTGGAGCTCCCGGTACCAGGAAAATAAAACGAGAACAAACGAGATGAGTATCGCACATCAGTTTCATTACCGTAATTAATGTTTAATTAATGCATGTGAAGCTAAAATGTTTAAACTGTTAAAATGTACATATTGATATCAATGTTCAGCCCATGTAGTTCTGGGGTGGTGGGTTAGCCTAGTGGTTAACGCGCCGAAGCCCCGGGTTTGATTCCCCCCCATGTGTGAAACCCATTTCTTGGGTCCCTCGCCCTGATATTGCTGGAATATTGCTAAAAGCGGCATAAAACAAAATTCACTCACTCACTCCAGGTAGTTCCGACACATGGTCTGTGTAATCAATGTCAGACAGATGGTGCTAGGATGGTGCTAGGATGACTGTTAATGTGTTGGACCGATCTCGCAGAAATAGCAGCACCACCTCGTAGACGTTAGGGTGGCCCTTCCTGGCTGGCAGGTTCATCTGGTGGTGCCAAACTTAATGGTTAATCAGATGACGAGACGTGCCACAGTGGTTCCAGATGTCAGGACTGAACAACATTTACCTCCCTTCCACCAAAGATGTTGTTACGTAGTCCATGAAGGCGGTGATCTTTGGTCGTGCAGGGCTATCGGCAGTCGCCTCCACCCACATCTTCTACCCTGTCGAATGGCACAAGGGGCAGGGTCGCGGCACGCCCATCTACCTTCTCCCCCTCAGGGACTTCGTGTAGATGGTAGCCAGCCCTTCTTTCCGTACACGTCTCTCCATTGAGTGTAATGGAGGAAACTGTCTGAGATCTTCAGGGAATTGAAGGCTGGAATCTCCTTCTTTAGTAGCTTTGAACTTTTTGAGCGCTTTTTCTGTAAACACCTGTGCATCGTACGTAGACACACTGTCGATTGGCTGTGAATTGATAATCCCGCGATCTGATAATATTGATTTTTATTTTTGTTTTATGCATTTTATGTAAACTGAACTACAAAGCAAACATTGTTCAGTTTATTTGTACTATTTTCGAATTACTCTTTCATATCCTAAAACTGCATTCACGGTGCACCGCCTTCATGCAAGTCCATCGATTTGGCGCTCGCAGTACCAACAGCATAATCCCCCGAGCAATGTGTGAGTTTCTCACTCACGCCAGCTGAAGTATTTGTCTTGTTGCACCTCGGGTCGACTCGGGTTCTAGCTGAAAGTGTACGTCCCACTGATATCACCTCTGCTGGGCTCCAGCATCGTGTCACTCCACTGCGTCCATCCCGGTGAGAAGGTTCAGCCATGCTCCGCTTGTTACTGTGCATCGCCATCCTGTCTGGGTCCCAGGCCTTCTTCTTCAGCAGATGTAAGTTGGTCTTCATATTCATATCGTGGTTGTTGTATTACTGAGTGTAAAGTATATACAGGTTAACATCTTACAATGACCATCCTTATCTCCTAATGTCGTTTATGTCTATGTTTGCTTGTTTGTTTTTTGGGTTTTTTGTTTAACGCCGCACTCAGCAATATTCGAGCTATATGACGGCGGTCTGTAAATTTCCGAGTCTGAACCAGATCTAATTTATGGGTTCTATGGTCAATATCGGTTTTCATGGTCTAATATCGGCTCTTTGGCCCAATATCTGCACTGTTGTCTATTATCGGTTTTCATGGTCTAATATCGGCTCTTTGGCCCAATATCTGCACTGTTGTCTATTATCGGTTTTCATGGTCTAATATCGGCTCTTTGGCCCAATATCTGCACTGTTGTCTATTATCGGCTTCATGGTCTATTATCGGCTTCATTGTCTAATATCTGCACTGTTGTCTATTATCGGCTTCATGGTCTAATATCGCCTCTTTGGTCCAATATCTGCACTGTTGTCTATTATCGGCTTCATGGTCTAATATCGGCTCTTTGGCCCAATATCTGCACTGTGGTCTATTATCGGCTTCATGGTCTAATGTAGGCTCTTTGGCCCAATATCTGCACTGTGGTCTATTATCGGCTTCATGGTCTAATGTAGGCTCTTTGGCCCAATATCTGCACTGTTGTCTATTATCGGCTTCATGGTCTAATATCGCCTCTTTGGCCCATTATCTGCACTGTGGTCTATTATCGGCTTCATGGTCTAATATCGGCTCTTTGGCCCAATATCTGCACTGTTGTCTATTATCGGCTTCATGGTCTAATGTAGGCTCTTTGGTCCAATATCTGCACTGTTGTCTATTATCGGCTTCATGGTCTATTATCGGCTTCATTGTCTAATGTAGGCTCTTTGGCCCAATATCTGCACTGTGGTCTATTATCGGCTTCATGGTCTAATATCGCCTCTTTGGCCCATTATCTGCACTGTTGTCTATTATCGGCTTCATGGTCTAATATCGCCTCTTTGGCCCAATATCTGCACTGTTGTCTATTATCGGCTTCATGGTCTAATATCGCCTCTTTGGCCCAGTATCTGCACTGTTGTCTATTATCGGTTTTCATGGTCTAATATCGCCTCTTTGGTCCAATATCTGCACTGTTGTCTATTATCGGTTTTCATGGTCTAATATAGGCTCTTTGGTCCAATATCTGCACTGTTGTCTTTTATCGGCTTCATGGTCTAATATCGCCTCTTTGGACCATTATCTGCACTGTTGTCTATTATCGGCTTCATGGTCTAATATCGGCTCTTTGGCCCAATATCTGCACTGTTGTCTATTATCGGCTTCATGGTCTAATATCGCCTCTTTGGTCCAATATCTGCACTGTTGTCTATTATCGGTTTTCATGGTCTAATGTAGGCTCTTTGGTCCAATATCTGCACTGTTGTCTTTTATCGGCTTCATGGTCTAATATCGGCTCTTTGGCCCAATATCTGCACTGTTGTCTATTGTCGGCTTCATGGTCTAATATCGGCTTCATGGTCTAATGTAGGCTCTCCTTTTGTCTCGAACTGCGGAGGTTCGAGGTGCATGTGATGTTCCCAATGACTTCGAGTCAAGGGAGCTTCTCTGTACGCAACACACTCGCGGGGTATAACATTGCCGTGTTGCCATTATGTGCTGTACATTAGCTACCGTAGGCGAGTTTTGTTTTCCTGTACTGGTTAATACCCAATGTAGTACAAAAATAATATTTTGTCGATGAGTTATTCCACATAAATTAGTTCACCATGTCAGTGAGCCCTACGCATTTCTGCAAGTGTTCAGTGATTTGCGGAACTGCCATACTGTGTGATACATCCTCGTGTTAACAAAAGCGGCTTTAAACTCATTTCACACCACACGAAAACATGACGTCGTTACCCACCTCGGGAAAGATAACGGTTCTTCCTTAAACTTTGGGATAAAACAAGGTTGTAATGTTATATTATGTCTCCCTGGTTGTATTTCAATCTCGCTCGCTAAAAGCAAACGTGTTGTTTTTTTCCCACACAAAAAATGACACACCCTCTATTTAGTGGGACGTACCCTTATTATATATTTGATAAAGTGTTATCGGGCCGGCGGGTAGCCTTTGTTTAAACGTTCGCAAGGGGTACAACATGAAACTCAATTCGTGTGTCCCCATCGCGAATATTACCTAAAGCGCCGTAAAATCATTCTTTCAACGTGCTTTCTCACTAACATGTCGTCGAATAACCTGACACGTCGCTAAAAGCGATCACGCTGTCATGTCGTCTATTATCAGGTAGCGTTAACTTTCTGGTATGCACGTTACAACATCTCTATGATATTTTATGTTATTATTTATAATTTGAAACATTAACATTCTGTCAAATAACGGCACTCGGAACTCCGGAAAAGTCGACAATGCATGCTTGCCTTCACGTCGCATGTTACTGTTAGAAGCTGGTGATCAAGGTAGTGCCTTCTTCTCTATTCTCCACGACGCATTCCTGTATATCCCCAGCAGCCCATGTTGGCCGTAAGAGGCGACTAGTGGATTGGGAGGTCACACTTGGCGGCCCGCTTACCCCCATGTCGTGATTTATAGTGATATTAATTACTGGTTCGTCTGGCCAAGACTCGATTATTTACAGGCCGCCGCGAAAAAGCTGGAATATAGTTGAATGCGCGACTGACAACAAATCCACAAACAACTGCAGTAACAAGGAGTGAATATGACAACATGACAGGGTCACTTAGTTTATAGCGCTGCAGGGTTTTAAGCTGGTAGTGAATTTTAATCCTAGATTCCCCTTGATAATGACACGAGGTCTTTCAGCTCCAGTTTCGTGCTGTTTCATCTGGGCTTTCCTCGCATATATACGAACTAAGACACGCTGATATACGACTAAAATAATCACAATACTCGGTTACATATATTATCTGTGTAAATATTCTGTTTCAGCGCCTGACTGGGACAAACTGCAAGGTAAGCTAGTTCCCCCTGTACATTCTGATATGTTTTGTTGTGTTGCTTAGTAGACTGGTTCCCGTTCGTTTCTGCGACAGACTTTGAACGCAGAGCAAGAGCAGCGACACCAAGCGAACGATCCGGGAACCAGTCTTTACCGGCCCTTTCCTTGGAAGGCCGGGCAAGAGCAGCGACACCAAGCGGAGGATCAGGGAACCAGTCTAGTAGCCTAGTAGCTCAGTCGTCAGACTGAAAACCCGGGTTCGACTCCCCACATACTATTTGCATTTGAACCAACATTTAAACCCACGACAGGTTTACCTGTTAATTACAATCCTAAACCCGTCTAGTTATGGGACAAGGAAGGCGCTGGTTTGTGTTTTGGAACTTCACACATGTTTACAATGCAGTCTTGCATCAGCCTTAATTCATCTTCGTGGCATATTCAGAATAAATATATACATATTTTTTGCACTAATTGTAAACTGACAAATATGAAGTAGATTGTCATTTTTGTATTTTTGTGGTTATACGGCAACTTTTTTTCATTCTTACAGTGACTTTCGGAATCAACGTATTCAGCTCCGGGACATTTTCTCACCTTCCGAGAACAGTGCTTGCCGCCAGGGATGAAGGCTTCACCGAGCTGTCCGGGTGTGGAGGTGCGTGCGTGTGCGTGCGTGTGCGTGCGTGCGTGCGTGCGTGCGTGCGTGCGTGCGTGCGTGCGTGAATGAGTTAGTGTGCGTGAGTGAGTGAGTTAGTGAGCGTGCCTGCGTGTGTGCGTGAGTGAGAGTGAGTGAATGCGTGCCTGCGTGTGTGCGTGAGTGAGAGTGAGTGAGTGAGTGAATGCGTGCATGCGTGCGTGTGTGCCTGCGTGTGTGTCTGTCTGTTTGGTGTGTGTCTATGTGTGTGTATGTGTGTGAATGTGTGGTGTGTGTTTGGGGTGTGTATATGTGTGCGTGGTGTGTATATGTGTTTGGTGTGTGTGTATATATATGTGTGTGTGTCTGTGTGTGTTGTGTGATATACTCACTGACACACCCACAGCCAATACTATTTCCATCGGTATACAATAAACAACTCTTGTGCTGCAATTTCATCTTCATTTCTTTTGACGAAAAGTCAAGTTTTAAATCATTTCTTTTCAGCAACTCCTATGTTTGCTGGCAGGCGTTTTGCTAAAAATGGAGACCTCGCTGTCGTCCTCATCTTTGACGTGAACGGCATCATCGCCGGCATTCAAGCAGGGGTAAGGGCGATATCGAAAACGTCCATCCTTATAACAAGTCAAATGGTTCAATCGAATTTCGAAAATTGTGACAAGAGTGAGTGAGTAAGTGAGTTGGGTTTAACGCCGCTTTTAACAGTATCCCAGTTACATCACGGCGTGTCAGCTTAATGTGGGAGGAAAGCCCGAAGTGATGCAGGTCTCAGACGTTTACCACTTCGGTGAAACCCACGTGCACAGGTATGATGCTGACAAACCTAGAAACATAATTGGGGCGAACCGGGATTCGAACTCACAATCATAGGTTTCTGGCGCGACAAAGGGACGCAACTCTGCACAGCGAATCGCGGCGTCTTAGACGAGTGGGCCACCTGTGATGTCCTATAGCCCGTGGTATAACTGCGGGATGTCTTATAGCCCGTGGTATAACTGCGGGATGTCCTATAGCCCGTGGTATAACTGCGGGATGTCCTATAGCCCGTGGTATTACTGCGGGATGTTCTATAGCCTGTGGTATAATTGCGGATGTCTTATAGCCCGTGGTATAACTGCGGGATGTCCTATAGCCCGTGGTATAACTGCGGGATGTTCTATAGCCCGTGGTATTACTGCGGGATGTTCTATAGCCCGTGGTATAACTGCGGGATGCCCTATAGCCCGTGGTATTACTGCGGGATGTTCTATAGCCCGTGGTATAATTGCGGATGTCTTATAGCCCGTGGTATAACTGCGGGATGTCCTATAGCCCGTGGTATAACTGCGGGATGTTCTATAGCCCGTGGTATTACTGCGGGATGTTCTATAGCCCGTGGTATAATTGCGGATGTCTTATAGCCCGTGGTATAACTGCGGGATGTCCTATAGCCCGGTGTATAACTGCGGGATGTCCTATAGCCCGTGGTATTACTGATGGGTGTTCTTGTTTCAGTTCTCCAGCAACCAGTACAACGGCTACCCCGATGACCCCATCAGGAACCACCCCTTCGTCGAGTACGACCACCACCAGTTCGTCACCGCCTACTTCACCGACCCTGGTAGGTGCATGTGTGTCACCTGGAGAGTAGGACACTCTGTGCGTGAAGAGCACGGGATTTAGCTGATCACACGAGGGAATGAATGTTATGTTACACCGGTGTCTGAAGTATTGTACAGTCTGGTCAATTACGTGAGTGAGTAAATGTTAAGTTACACCGGTGTCTGAAGTATTATACAAACTGATCAATTACGTGAGGGAATGAATGTTATGTTACACCGGTGTCTAAAGTATTGTACAGTCTGGTCAATTACGTGAGGGAATGAATGTTATGTTACACCGGTGTCTAAAGTATTGTACAGTCTGGTCAATTACGTGAGGGAATGAATGTTATGTTACACCGGTGTCTAAAGTATTGTACAGTCTGGTCAATTACGTGAGGGAATGAATGTTATGTTACACCGGTGTCTAAAGTATTGTACAGTCTGGTCAATTACGTGAGGGAATGAATGTTATGTTACACCGGTGTCTAAAGTATTGTACAGTCTGGTCAATTACGTGAGGGAATGAATGTTATTTTACACCGGTGTCTAAAGTATTGTACAGTCTGGTCAATTACGTGAGGGAATGAATGTTATGTTACACCGGTGTCTAAAGTATTGTACAGTCTGGTCAATTACGTGAGGGAATGAATGTTATTTTACACCGGTGTCTAAAGTATTGTACAGTCTGGTCAATTACGTGAGGGAATGAATGTTATTTTACACCGGTGTCTAAAGTATTGTACAGTCTGGTCAATTACGTGAGGGAATGAATGTTATTTTACACCGGTGTCTAAAGTATTGTACAGTCTGGTCAATTACGTGAGGGAATGAATGTTATTTTACACCGGTGTCTAAAGTATTGTACAGTCTGGTCAATTACGTGAGGGAATGAATGTTATTTTACACCGGTGTCTAAAGTATTGTACAGTCTGGTCAATTACGTGAGTGAGTGAATGTTATGTTACACCGGTGTCTAAAGTATTGTACAGTCTGGTCAATTACGTGAGGGAATGAATGTTATTTTACACCGGTGTCTAAAGTATTGTACAGTCTGGTCAATTACGTGAGGGAATGAATGTTATTTTACACCGGTGTCTAAAGTATTGTACAGTCTGGTCAATTACGTGAGGGAATGAATGTTATTTTACACCGGTGTCTAAAGTATTGTACAGTCTGGTCAATTACGTGAGGGAATGAATGTTATTTTACACCGGTGTCTAAAGTATTGTACAGTCTGGTCAATTACGTGAGTGAGTGAATGTTATTTTACACCGGTGTCTAAAGTATTGTACAGTCTGGTCAATTACGTGAGTGAGTAAATGTTAAGTTACACCGGTGTCTGAAGTATTATACAAACTGATCAATTACGTGAGTGAGTGAATGTTATGTTACACCGGTGTCTGAAGTATTATACAAACTGGTCAATTACGTGAGTGAGTGAATGTTATGTTACACCGGTGTCTGAAGTATTATACAAACTGGTCAATTACGTGAGTGAGTGAATGTTATTTTACACCGGTGTCTGAAGTATTATACAAACTGGTCAATTACGTGAGTGAGTGAATGTTATTTTACACCGGTGTCTGAAGTATTGTACAGTCTGGTCAATTACGTGAGTGAGTAAATGTTAAGTTACACCGGTGTCTGAAGTATTATACAAACTGATCAATTACGTGAGTGAGTGAATGTTATGTTACACCGGTGTCTGAAGTATTATACAAACTGGTCAATTACGTGAGTGAGTGAATGTTATGTTACACCGGTGTCTGAAGTATTATACAAACTGGTCAATTACGTGAGTGAGTGAATGTTATTTTACACCGGTGTCTGAAGTATTATACAAACTGGTCAATTACGTGAGTGAGTGAATGTTATTTTACACCGGTGTCTGAAGTAGTATACAAACTGGTCAATTACGTGAGTGAGTGAATGTTATTTTACACCGGTGTCTGAAGTATTATACAAACTGGTCAATTACGTGAGTGAGTGAGTGAATGTTATTTTTCTGGAAGTCTGGAAAGGGCAAACAAGTAACTGACTGCATGACGCACAATCATACTCACCGCCTAATCCCAAGTTAGTCGCCTCTTGCGATAAGCATGTGGTTCCGTTCTCGTTTCATGATCTGTACATGGGAATTTTACGTTGATATTACCACGTGTTTTGCAACCGTTCCGCAACAGATTGTTACCCTACCATAAACCCTTGTTGAGGATTTGCCTTGCAACGTTGTAAAACCCAACCTTAATTGGGCGTAGTAAACCTCTGGTCGGGTTAAAATAGGTCCTGGCAACCTATGCTGGTCTCCCCGTGGTCATTCCGAGTTAAAATAGGTCCTGGTAACCCATGCTGGTCTCCCCGTGGTCATTCCGGGTTAAAATAGGTCCTGGCAACCTATGCTGGTCTCCCATTGGTCATTCCGGGTTAAAATAGGTCCTGGCAACCTATGCTGGTCTCCTCCGTGGTCATTCCGAGTTAAAATAGGTCCTGGTAACCCATGCTGGTCTCCCCGTGGTCATTCGGGGTTAAAATAGGTCCTGGCAACCTATGCTGGTCTCCCCGTGGTCATTCCGAGTTAAAATAGGTCCTGGTAACCCATGCTGGTCTCCCCGTGGTCATTCCGGGTTAAAATAGGTCCTGGTAACCCATGCTGGTCTCCCCGTGGTCATTCCGGGTTAAAATAGGTCCTGGCAATTGATGCTGGTCTCCCCGTGGTCATTCCGGGTTAAAATAGGTCCTGGCAACCTATGCTGGTCTCCCCGTGGTCATTCCGGGTTAAAATAGGTCCTGGCAACCTATGCTGGTCTCCCCGTGGTCATTCCGGGTTAGAATGACTACGAATGACTTCACTGACGTCGGTGTGCCAATCTACAAAATGTGATAGTCGTCTAAACATGACGTGACACAGTTACACATGCAGTAAAACGATCGTTGCAACATCACAAGAGAAAGGTCGCCATATTCACACAATCTACACCTCCCATCCCCATCCCCACAAAAAAACACCCCTCTTACAAGCGTTAATAAGGGGCAATAAATTCTCCGTCGTGTGTTACAGGAACAGTTCGAAGTGTATCTGCAACTAAATCCATTTCCTCTCAATGATATGTGTTTCAACATTAACACAAAGGCACCAAAAGGTGAAGGTCAGATATAAATTTCAAATACTCAAATACTGCTTGGAATATTTATCTAGCTCACTTCGTTCACTTATGCGAAAGGTCAACTTCACAGAGTAAAGTAGTATAGTTTTTACACATACCAGACTTGATGATCTCACATGGCTTTCAAGTGTATCATTCAAGCATGTTCTTCATGATACCTTCCTGGAAGCTGGGCTGGTTTTCTGTAGACTCACTCACTCACTCACTCACTCACTCACTCACTCACTCACTCACTCACTCACTCACTCACTCACTCACTCACTCACTCACTCACCCACCCACCAACCCACCCACTCATTCACCCAGGCACCCACTCACTCACCCACCCACCCACCCACCCACTCACTCACTCACTCACTCACTCACTCACCCACCCACCCACCCACTCACTCACTCACTCACCCACCCACCCACCCACTCACTCACTCACTCACTCACTCACTCACTCACTCACTCTTCGTGTTGTCAGGGAGTATATGCAGCAGGGGGCGGACCTCAGACCAGTATTCCGAGGAAGGGACGGGGACGCAGCTGCTGATCCAGAACGGCACCACCCCTAGGGAATACATCACTATTCCAATGACCGAGACAGGACTCCGCACAACACGCTGGACAAGGGGAAAGTGCTTCCCATGGATGGGTAACGTCTAATATTTTCAATCCTAAATTGTACAAATTGATTTTCCAGCTATTAGGTTTAACACTACAGTTCAACCTCTTTAAGTTGTTGTTGTTGTTGTTGTTGTTGTTGTTGTTGTTGTTGTTTAATGCAGTATTTCAGCTGTATGACCGCGGTCTGTAAATAGTCGAGTCTGGACCAGACAATCAAGTGACTGACATCAAGAGCATCGATCAACGCAATTGGGATACGATGAAATGCATCAACCAAGTCAGCGAGCCTGACCACCCGATCCAGACATGCATGGGTTGCTGAAGACCTATTCTGACTCAGATCTTCACGAGTCTCAACCTCGTTAAGGGGCGAGGCGGGTGGCATTGTGGTTAAAGCGTTTGCCTGTTACGCCGAGGGCTTTGGTTTGATTCCCTACATTGGTAAAATGTTTGAAGCCAGTGTTTGGTTTTCCACTCCGTAATATAGCTGGAATCTTGCTGAAACGGCGTAAAACAATACTAAACCTCGTCAGCTGTAACTACAGTGCCTGCCAAAATAAGGTACACACTTGAAAATTTGATTTGACTAAAAAAGTACAAATGTTATCAAAATGTCATATCACTCAATCTTAAGGTCAAAAACACAACTACGATACTGGTATCAAATACATCGCCATCGAATACCATTTCTTTTTCATTTTTAGCCAGCGAACTAAATGCTTGGTGACGTGTTTGCCCATGTTTGCATTTCATCTTATATTTATGATAGCGAGGTCTGCCTGGTATGGTATTTCACAACGACGTTTGCCTTACAGGCTAAATAAGCATTGCCTAGAAACCCTTTTTGCTGTTGCTTCAGGAGTGCACTACTGGTACGACATATCGAGGGACATGGACTGTAGCCGCTTCTTCCCAGTGTTTCTCATGTACAATGGTGGCAAGCTCAACTCTTTTGGCTGGGCGTTTAACGCCGATCTGACGTCGCCTCGTTATGAACATCCTCCCCCCTCACAGTTCAGGGTAAGTACATACTTGGTCAGCTTGACACACTTGCTCTCTTTCTTCAACACGGTCCGAGGATCAAGGAGACGCAACTCTCTGTGTTCAGGACCGACGACCCAGCGCAAGCTCCTACCCAGTGCCTGAAATCATTGTTACACTTTCTGTAACATCGCTGCCGTCATCACTTGTTAAAAAACATGACGGCCAACCTGAGTTCAACTCCAAACATGACTGTTGACACCTATCACAGTGGGGAGTGTCGCAGCGATAGTCCAGAGAGCTCCGCGACGGGGTGGTTCCTGATGGGGTCATCGGGGTAGCCGTTGTACTGGTTGCTGGAGAACTGAAACAAGAACACTCTGTTCAGCGGAGTTGGCCCAGTGGGCCCAGGAACCGCACAGTCTGTACATTGTCAGGATCCTCTTCCGAGGGTTCGAATCCCAGATTTACCCCGATTATGATTGATATGAGTGGTAAACGTGTGGCTTTCGTTACCCTGCTGGCCACCTACACGAGGCTGATCACTGTTATATCTGCACACTAAAAGTTCAAAGTGGCGGTGAATGGACCTCAGACTGAGCCTGATAATGGGGCGTGTCGTGGTCAGTACAGTCCCGGGTCAGCAGCAGAGAGGGGGAAGTGTGAGCGCCGGTTGATGTTGGGGATCGATGACCCAACAATCAACCGGGATCCGTTCAGGAAGAGGGTCTTAACGCCAGCTGTGAAATATCATGCTTCAACAAAGACGCACGTAAGCTGAGATGGAGAATTAGGTTAAAGCTACGTTTGTATTTTAAATTGTTATTTCTCCGACACATTTTGGAATGTTTGATAACCATCCGGGCAAATGCGGTAGCCATCACACCTCACGAACACTATGGAACAGTTTGTTTATCATTTTTGGACACTATATCAATTGTCATTGAACATCAATAGGACTATACATATTGCATTCATCCATCCGAGTTATGCTGCTACTATTATTATTATTATTATTATTATTATTATTATTATTATTCAGCGTTTCCTCAACCCCGTACCTCTCTGTCTGTCTGGACGAAGCCGATTATCAACACTCCACATCTATTTGTCCAACCCTCTACGCAACTTCTGTTGAGCAGATTCAAGGCGTCCTGGATCTTCAATTTCACAGTCGGCCTTACTCGTCTCTTTCCGTAAACTAACGGGAAAGCCCGTGTTTGTGTCTGAAGCCAGACAGATGTGTTTGTTTTCGGGGGTTTTATTACAGGGTGGGGAAAGTTGTTATTTTTTGTGGTGTTTGTGTGTTTTTTTAACATGTGTTTTACACTGAATCTGCATATTTTTTATAATTAGTGAGTATGGTTTTACGCCGCTGTTAGCAATATTCCAGGAATATCACGGCGGGTTAATTTTCTATTTGTTATAGATTTCAAGTAAAATTATGAATGCTACTTGAGTTTATTGTGTCTTATTTGAGCAAACATAGATCATTCTCCTGATATCTGCAGATGCTGCATATGCCATGAAACGCGAGTGAGTAAATTTAAATGAAACATCCAGGTATCTTTGTGACATGGTGGTTAGCCATTCGTGGAAGAGTTTCAGTGTAAATGGGAGAGATTCGGACTAAGTGCGTGAGTATGTTTACACTTATTTAACAATATCAAAGCAATAGCACAGCGGAGACACAAGTGAGTGAGTGAGTTATGGTTTATAGTCACATCGGCAATATTTCAGCCATATCGTAACTAAATCAAGTTATATATTAATGAAACACAAAACTGAACTATTAAACCTGTCTACAAAGGAACGGAGACACAAAAGTGGACCATGGGTTTCATGTAGAAAATCGCACCCGGTGTTTCGGTGTGACGCTCAAACGCTACTCACAAGGCTAAGCCAGCGCCCTAAAAATGCTCAAACTTGTATTCAGTGATCACCTTTGAAACAGACAATATACATGCACCCATTGCCTGCCCAGCTCAGAAGGACCACGTGGTCGGAAAAAAATATTTATCTCAAACTTGATTGAAGTCAAGACAGACATTACGTTGGAAAGTTTCAACTTTTTATACATTAAGGCTTTCTGAAAAAAGACGATCCAAGATGGCCGCCAAACCAGTGCTCCCTTTTTCAGGCTGTCCTGTCTCAGGTGTCACGTGGAGAATCTCAGTGAACTGTACATCGACCTCGACTCTGAAATAGACTTGATATATGCGAATATGTCACCAAATATAAGATGAAAAGGTTCAAATTCACTTACTAATATAATGCATGTGTAACCGTGCTTGTGTTGGCCGATAGTGGAGTAGGTGTCCTACTGGCCAAATAATCACAAACAGCTGTGGGGGGTGAGGCTGATGACGTTTATTGTATAAAGGTGCGAATGTACGCACTTAATTTCAGTCTGAAACAATAAAAGTACAACATAAGCAAATATAACATAGAATAAATATATACAATCCGTTATACATGTAGTTACTCTTTAAATTTCTAAAATATATATATATATATATATCACTTCCATTAAAATGAATAGCATTTACTTTACATTACACAATACATCAGACGTATCCGTACAATACATCAATACACAGATACAAAATATATTAATATGATATAGAGTGATAACGAACATTACATACCAGATAGGTGATACCTGAACTGGTAATACCGTGACAATGATCGAACGGTGAATGTTGCTACTGAGAAATCTGCATAATAAAGAAATACAAATGCAGAATACTATATACAAGTGATATCCTATGGTAAAATAGTGTATAAAAATATATAGTACAACAGCCACTCATTTCAGACATACAACACTCATAAAATAAATAACCAACTAACCTTAAATATGAATAAATCCTTCTACAAATCCAAATCCTCACATAGAAATGAAAGCAGCAATAAATCTCGCAGAGTCTTTCCTTGAGGTGACAAAAAGCAACTGATCTTTTAAAATTCAACAATAAACATTGCTGTAGCTATGGCCAGCTTGGCCTATCAACAAGACAATAGACTGGGCCGGGGCGCGCTGGGGCAAAGAGTGCTGTAAGTCAAAAGCATGCAGTGTGACAATTAGTGGAAGTTAGACTGAGGGTAAGCTTACTTAATGTTACAGAGCTATGGAATGAATGTTTAAGGTATAAAATACTAAGGTATAAAACATAACTAATATTATAACTAATAATATATTCTTATAATGATAATATCGTAACAAACTAATTAGTTAAAATGGTAACAAGGCCATATAACCTTACTACTTACTAATAAATCTTAATTAAAAGTATGTACATAAATGAGCCTGCCACATACTTCCCCCTGCACCCAAATGACGTCCTCGTCATTTGCTGGTGTTATTAAGTAAGGTGACAATGAGCTGTGACATCGCACCACCAATTCGCTCAAAGATGCCAGCAGCCGCAAGCTGTTCGATTAGTTGAGTTCGATCATCCCTGTCCTCTGATGTTGTCTGACTCATCACATAATCTCCTGAGCGCTGCCACTCCGGTGGCCGTCTCTGCCGGAGTGATTTCCTTGGTGGTGGCTTGGGTCTTGGCCTTGGTCGGTCATCTGATGGGACAGGAGCTGTGGCTCCTACCACTGGGTCTGTGTCCTGTTCTTCACTGACATTAGCATCTGCTGCTTCTTCTTCTCTTGCATCCGTTTCTCCTGTACCAGGGTTCTCTGACTCCCGTGGCATGTGGCCGTCGCCACCAGAAGAATGGCTGCCTACCTCTCCAGTTGTCAGATCGTCACCCTCCAACTGTGAGGTAGAATCTCGTTCCAAGGATTCTGCGTTGATGACAGTGGTATCATCAGGCTCCGTTGGAAGTTCAACAAGCAGGCTTGAGATGGACCCACGCTCATCTTGATCCGACACTGATGTTTCTGTCTCTGTTTCTGGTTCTTTAGGGTTCTCTGGTCCTGGAGTCGGAGCTGTTGGCACTTCTTCAATTCTCTCAACTGGTAAAGATCCTATGGGTAAGAGGAGGTTACGATGTAAAGTTCTGTTCCTTCCTTCTCCGTTTTCTTTCTTCACAACAAACACTGGTATGCCCAGGTTTGGCTGAGAAAGAACTACGTACGGATCCTCTTCCCACTTGTCAGAGAGCTTGTGCTTTCCCTCAAAGGCTAGAATCTTCACCAGGACGCGATCTCCAGACTGGACTGTTGCACCTCTGGCTTTGACATCATACCCTGTCTTCTGTTTCTTCTGGGCTTCCCTTGATGCAGATGTGGCGATCTTGTAGCTCTGTTCCAACCTTGTCTTCAGGGCTTTGACATAGGACGTCAGTGTCTGCTTGTCCTTGTTAATCTCAATACCAAAGGCAAGGTCGATGGGTAGTCGTGCTTCTCTACCAAACATCAGGTAAAATGGGGAGTAGCCCGTTGATTCGTGTCTTGTTGCATTGTATGCATGAACAAGTGGACCGACGAATCCTTTCCAGTCGTACTTCTGGTCCGGCTTTAGTGTTCCAAGCATGTTGAGCAGAGTCCTGTTGAAGCGTTCTGTCATCCCATTACACATTGGATGGTATGGTGTAGTTCTTGACTGGGATATGCCCAAGATGCTGCACAGTTCCTTAATCATTCGACTCATAAAGTTGGCTCCTTGGTCGCTGTGAATTCGCATGGGCATTCCATAGTGGAGAACAAAGTTCTTGTAGAATGCTTCTGCAGTGGTCCTGGCTGTAGTATTCTTGGTTGGCACTGCTAATGCATACCTCGTGAAATGATCTGTGATCACGAGCACATGTTGATATCCTCCCTTTGAAGTTTCTAGGGTGAGAAAATCCATGCAGACTAACTCCAATGGCTGTGATGTGGTGATGGAAACTAGAGGTGCCCGGATATTAGTCGGCGTTTTCCTCCTGAGACATCTGTCGCAGTTCTTAATCCAGTCCATTGTATCAGCTTGCATGCCTGGCCAGTAAAATCTGTCACGAACTAATGAAAGGGTTCGATCACGTCCAGGGTGTCCAATATCATTGTGGAGGCCTTGTAACACATCATTGATGAAGTTAGATGGTAACACAAGTTGATCTTTTGTAATTCCGTCCACCTTGATCTGGCGATACAATATCCCACGTTGAAGTACAAGAGAATGGAAGCTCCGATACAAGGAGGTATTGGCTAGGGTATGAGGAAAGTCTTGTCTCCTTGGCTTCTTCTGGTTACGTACTGCCTGTATCCAAGAAGGTAAAGTTGTATCTGTAGCTTGTGCCATACGCCAATCCCTGTCAGTCATTCCACGTAGGTCATGTGCTGTCGTGTGAAGATCCTTATCCACTGAACTTGCGGAGAGACATAGAGATTCTACAAACGGTTGGGCGTGAACAACACCACAGATGGCCTTTACAGAATCCATAGAGATGTCTTCTTTGTGTTCTAAGTCTGGCAGTCGAGATAATGTATCTGCATCAGTGTTCTTCATTCCAGGTCGGTAGTGGATGTCAAAGTCATAAGCAGAGAGAGTTGCTAACCATCGGTGACCTGTGGCATCCAACTTAGCACTGGTGAGGACGTAGGTAAGGGGGTTGTTATCAGTCAGCACTGTAAACCTTGCTCCAAAGAGATAGTCGTGGAACTTCTCGCTGACCGCCCACTTCAGCGCGAGGAACTCCAGTCGATGGGCTGAGTAGTTGGTTTCTGACTTGGTAAGTCCTCTGCTTGCATAGCTGATAACCCGCTTTGCTCCATCTTGTTCTTGATACAACACTGCGCCTAGTCCTCGTCCACTAGCATCTGTATGCAACTCGAATGGCTGGCTGTAATCCGGGTATGCAAGGATGGGTGGTGAAGCCAGTAATGTCTTGAGTTGTTCGAAGGCTTGTTCTTGTTCTTCTTTCCATTGCCATGGTTGATCAAGTGAATTCTTGGACTTCTTGGATTTCCCATGTGGCATCAGTGAGGATAATGGCTTGGCAATCTTGGCAAAATCCTTCACGAATTTCCGATAGTATCCTGCGAATCCAAGGAATTGTCTAACTTCTGAACCATTGGTAGGTCTCGGCCAATTCAGAATCTTTTCCACCTTTTCAGGATCAGCTGATATGCCTTCTCCAGAAACAACATGGCCTAGAAACTTGATTTTCTTCTTGAAGAAAGAGCATTTCTCTGGTGAAAGCTTCAATCCTGTCTCTCGGATGCGCTGTAGAACTTGTCTCAATCGATCAAGATGTTCTTCGATTGTTGATGAGAAGATAATTATATCATCCAAGTATATTAGACATATCTTTAGATGCAAGCCGTCAAAACACTCGTTCATGAGTCTTTGGTAGGTCGCTGGACTGTTGCACAATCCGAAGGGCATACGATTATATTCATAAAATCCCATGGGTCCGACGGTGAAGGCAGTTCGTTCCTTGTGTGTCTCCTCTATTTCTACTTGGTGGTAGCCACTCTTCATGTCCAGGGTGCTATAGAACTTAGATCCTGCGAGGGC